AGGTACAGTGATCTTAGGTGGACCAGTAACCATTGGTACGGTTATCGTGATTGGATCGAAAAACCTAGGTACAATGACTGTAGCGGTACCGGTAACCGTAGGTATGGTTATCGGCTTCGAGCGGCGAAATGACCTTCACCGTTGTATTTCTAGTCAATATCAATACCCTCCATTTAGAACTACGAAAGTGTGCGATGATGGCCGGTTTGCGCTATTACTCAAACAACATAAGACTCAATGCATCCAGCAGTACTATTATGCCAGTCTCCATTATGGCTCTTTATAACCTTATCGCCTTGATTCTCTGCTTTATTCCAAAGTTCTGATTAGTATTTCCCAAAATTAATTAGGACGAGGAACTACTTCTTATCAGAAAGTTAAGTGTTTGAGCCTCTGAGATGTAACGTGTAGCAGAGACACCAAAATACAAAAACATGACCGGTGCACCGGTCCCACCTCCTCACAGTACCACCGGTGCACCGTTCATCGGCCTCACCGGTCCACCGGTTCACCGTTCACCGGTCTCACAGTTCCACCGGTTCACCGTTCACCGGTTTCACCGGTCCATCGATTCACCGTACCAACCGGTAAACCGGTGGGCGGTGGCACCGTTAGTGCGGTGGACGGTGGACCGTCACCGGTGCACCCCTACCCACACCCACACCCACACGCCACACCCAAACCCACACCCACACGCCACACCCAAACCCACACCCACACCCCCCTGGTTTTGTGCTGTTTGATGAGAGTGAAAAAATCCAACTGCTGACAGCCAATAAAGGGCGTCACTCGTCATTTGCTTATTAGACTTTTTCTTCGCAAGCGAAAGCAGCTCTTGAAGTATACCGTGTGCAAACAATCGAGTTTTCGCGGAAAAGAATCAGAAGCAAGTAGGCAGAATAAGTAAATTTTTGTTCGGTATCTGAGGACGATTCGTGCAATACAAACACCGCGCATTACCTTCCGCATAGGTGTCGAGCGTGGGCGTGGGTGTGAGTGGTATTGATGTGGGATATTGGTGTGAGTTCGCGTGTGCATGCGGGTGTGGGTGCAGATGTGAGTGCGGGTACAGGTTTAGGCGTGGGTGTTGGTGTGTTGAAATCAATTAGAAAACAAATCAGGCTACTCATAACGAAAAGACAAGTTGGGTGTGGATGTGTATGTGGATCTTTTTCGTCACACACACCCATAACCACATTCACAGAGCTACACTCATACCTACACCTTCTCTATAATCCGGTCGTCTTATAGATGCCAAATACAGTTTACCTATATTTGTCATAGTCTAGTTTTGAGCGATGCCAACAACTATACATCATATACATATAAATAAAGGTGTATACACTTTTTAGGTATTGCATTTCTTTGAAGAAGCATGCGTTGTTTTCTCCTTTACAATCAATTGCCTTGTACTGTTTACATTGAATGTTTGACTGTTGCTGCGTGCAATTCTTCCAAATAGCGTGTATAGTTGAAAAGTATTCAAAAAGAAAACGAAAAAAAACAGAAGGCAAAAAGAGACAGAACATGGAGCATAAAATGTTGCCTTCGTGCAAAGATAAGTAACGAATCATTTGAAAGCCAACGCACTCGTCTGACATAAACAATACTCAATCAAGTTGGAAGATACCATCAGTGAAATTCATTCGGTACGGTTGACTTTCATTAGTTAATTTTAATCAGTAACTTATTTAAAAAATCTCTCAGATTAGAACGACTATTTGAGAAGTCATATACAGAGCCATGCAGCATATTAAAAACAAGTAACGCTCGTCGGCAGGACTCGCTTAACTCTTGACTGAATTCAATCTTGTTATCATCTGTTATCGTTTTCTTAGTTCTGCTGTAACAATTATTGTGCAACACGTGCACAGACGAAAATCTGTCTATAGCATTGTCAGTGATGACCATTTTGTAAAATATTCGGACCTTACTATTTTCCATTCAGAACTTCTAAGATTTACTTAAGCAAACAGCTCGCAGTCGATTGTCACGATTGAACTAAACACATCTCTCAATCCCCTCAGATCGTAGTCCGACGATGTTTCTGTTTCCTCTCAAATTTTCACTTTTGTCTAGAACTATTTGTATTTCCGAATCCTACTTACAAGAGCGAGATGTCGACAACAACTGACCATCGATCTTTTGATCTATGCGTTTTTGATCCTGACACATACAAACTTGTTTTATTTCATATGACCCTCTCTTCAATCGAGAGAACAGGACAGATCAATGGATGGAATCTAAGACTCTGGAACTAGCCAGGCTATTGTGTTTTTACCACATTACACTCCTTTCAGTAGAGATATTAGCGGCCGAAAAGTCTCGTTACTTGTTTCGATAGGTATCATAGTAATTATCTTTGCAATTACATAAGAAATCATCAACTCTATTTAAATCAAATTCTTATACGGGCTTTCATTATAGATTAGAAAATTGTTTTCTGTTTAGTTCTCGGTTCCATTTTCTAGGAAACACGAAGCTCTAGTCATATGTCTCGTTTCTTGAAGTGCTGTATTTGCTATAAGAAAACGAGGGAACGATGTTTCTTTCATAGTTCCAGAAAATACAGCTTCCATTCGCATGACATTGAGACAAACACTGGAACTTCAGCATTTCAAGATACTTCACCTCTTCGATCCCATCCTTTTTTCCTACCCCATAAAGCTGAAGAAAATTTCGACTTCTCTCACTTACGTCCTCCTTCACATCATCAACTGTACGTGAATTTCAAATTATTTCGATCGGCACGAACAAGCTCGCTTCTAATTGGCCCCTTCCCGACCAATGAAAGCTCAGCCAAAAAAAGCGACTTTGTATTCGTATTCCGAGCTATCGACAACCTACGGCAAAGTTTGATCAGAAGCTCCAAAAGCCTAAAATAAGAAAGCTCGTTTCTGATTGGTCCGTTTCCGACCAATGATAGCTCGTCCAAAAAACGTGACTTCGGATTCGAATGCCGGACCATCGATAACTTATAGCAAAGTTCGATCCAAATGACCAAAAGTCTTAAAATAAGAAAGTTCGTTTCTGATTGGTCGGAAACCGACCAATGAAACCTTCACCAAAGAAATGGGCTTCGGATTCGGATTCAGGACCCTCGATAACCTATAGCAAAGTTTCGTCAAAACAGCAAAAAGTCTTCAAATAGGCTGACCTCTCATATGTTTTTTTGACCTCAAGCAAACACACAAAGAAACAAACGCATCTTATTCCGTATGACCCTCCTTTTAGTCGAGGGAATAATGAGATTTTGAAGAAAAAAAGCAGAGAAACAAGATATTCAAGGTTTTACCTCACCCAATGTTCGAAGTAGTGCCTCTGATTATTGACAAAGGATTGCACTCGTTGAAACCTATTATCGAAATCTTTTTATAATCATATTTCTTGACCGAGTTCATGATAGTGGCAGGCCCCGCGAAAGTGAGGATATAGGGGGTGTACATCCCCAATAAGTGAAAATTATTCATGCATAGCCAATAAAATTGATAAATGTTTTTGGAATTTTTTGCCATAAAATTTTGAAGAAATGTTTAAATTTTTCTCTTCGCGAAAACCTGACCACGCGAGCGTATTTGGCTTAAAAATATATATCATTTTTCTGTTTTTAACGCAATTTTATTCGTGTCTTCCTGTTGAAGAGCTTTACTTTCTAACAGTCGTCATTACCGTGGCCGCCTTCGGCAGCGAAATCTCTCAGAGCTATCGCAACACTTTTCTCTTTGAAACAACATTAAAAAAACGTTTTTTATCAGTCTGTAAAATGTTTTCGCTGCACGAGAAATAGCAATTGTGTAACCGCAGTGAACGTAGAAAAACTTCCTACTGTAATCAATTTCTCCTTTGGAACAGCTTGATATAGACGAATTTTCGCCAGCGGTCGCCTTCGATGACGACAGTATTGAGAAACTTTCTTACACAGGACTCGAGTTCTCTTCTTGAAAATTTAGCAGAAATTGTGGGATATTTTAAGAAGATTGCAAAAAGTTGTCGCTTCGCGAAAAATTTTTACATGTTAGGTTAGCAGAGAAAGATTAACATGCACTCTCGTGCGGGCCTGGATAATGGTAACGGCTCAGTGCTAGACATAGTTGGCATTGGTGGGTTTTTCTGACTGGCTGCGAGTGTAGTCGTGCGCATGTGGATCAAGGAGGTAGTTTACCTATCGGTCTAGATGTTGATCGTGAATGCACGTGCGTAGAAAGAGTCTCAGAAACCAACTTCCACACTCACTTTCACTATTACTCACGACCCACACACCTCACTCACATGCACATCCTACACTCACATTCCACACTCACCCACACCTCACCCACGAGCACGCCTCACACCCACACCCACAGCCATCCCACCTCTATACCCACACCCACGCCACACACTACACCCACACCCACACCCACGCCACACACTACACCCACACCCACACCCACACCCATACCCACACCCACATTCCACACATACCCTCACCCAGACCCGCACCCACGCCACACAC